ACTTACAAGGGGAGATAGATTCAATGTTCGTAATGGCTCAGCCATTCCCAGTCCTTATTCAATCCTGAGTTGATTGTATCTAGTTTGCATATCAATTCCAGCTCAGCAGTCTCTCCTTGGAGTCTGTTTTTGATTAGATTGAAGACAGTTGCTATTTGGTGGCATTTGCTGGGCAGTTGGATTTTATTATTATTTTCTCAAATGCAACATATTCCAAAAGGTCAGGCTGTTGCCCAGAAAGGCACAAAACTCGTTAAAAAGGGGTGCACTTGGCAGTGAATAAATGGATTTAAGTTCTTTCCATATGATGGTTTGTCCCTGTGATTGAAAAAGGGTGCAGACGCTGTAAACCTTACTTAGGTGAGACATCCCATTGGAATAAATTGCACGAGTAAGGACAAGCAACATGAGTGAGGGCTGCAGGATCAGCTCAATAGCTAATAGCTGGCATAGGCTCGTCATGATTAGCATCAATACTTTGCAGCTGCCAACTGTGGTGCAGCCATGATAAAAGAAAAAAACACATGGTATGGACAAGCTTGAGAGTTAGTCTATAGCATGATTTTGGCAAGCATGCTTCTAAATAAAACCCAAGCCTCTGCAATACAGGACTGAGACAGCATTCAAGCCATAGTGTAAACTTATAGGGACAAATTCTGCCGTAGGTTATGAGTGCAATGCCTGAGGACATCAGTGGGAGCTTAGTGTATTAACGAATGGCAGAATTCATCCCACAACAAATATGCACCTGGAATCTGAGAAAGTCTGACAGGCTTTATTTTAGAGCACATTTGTAATAAACCACAGGCCCTTCTCTGTCTTCTCTCCCCAAGTGAGATCATCTCTACGTAAGGTCACCCATATACTGTATGTCCAATGGACCATGAGAAGGCCATTTCTGTAGAGTCCCTCCACTTTACCTTTTGATTTTAAACTTGACCGTCTGGAGGAGACGAGAGCATTAAATCAGAAATTCCTCCTTTAAAAGAAATTAGAAGAGACTGACAACAGAAGACAGTGATGGCTAAGGTGGTATATATTACACACCTAACACTCAGACTCCCTTAAACCTTCTATTCATGTGCAAGGGATTCTAAATGATGAAGACCCAGAAGGCATACGTCCAAGCAGAATGGCAGCTACTTTGGTTTACCCCTTCTTATATCTTCTTACAACTTTTTCTTGTGGAAGCTAAACAAATTTAGCCTCCCTCACATGTTGGCAGAGTGTGAGGAGGTTCCAGGGAGTTTAATTGAGCATAAATTAGTGTAAGTAAGGCCCCTCTCCCACCACCTAACATATCACTTCTGGATTTTACCCACAGCCTGGATTAAAGTGATCAGCAAAAATAAATATAAGGATTACTTATTTAATTATGGTAAAAGGAGATATTGATTGTCTGATCAGAAGAGAGACTGACCAGACACACTACACTCAGCTGTCTTTAAACTTATCTGTAAATGATGCAGCATCCTGATTTTATTTCATCATATTTACCCTCAAAGGTTTTAAAAATCAAATTTCACAAATTTGTAAATTCGTTGCTCTTGGCAGCAAAGTGATTTCAATTAACCTGAAATGAAAATGAGTAACAGACAGGCAGAAGACAGAGAGAAGGAGAGAAATTTGGGGTCTGATTCTGATCTTGTTTTCAGTGGTGTAAATCAGGATGAATTCACTGACAACAATGGAGTTACCTGGGTGTAGAACAAGAATAAGTGAGATCAGAATCCAGTCCACAGAGTGAACGAGAGTGAGTGCAATGTAAGGAGTGGTCATCTAAACTTTGTCTTCAGGATTATATAACAGCACTAATACCTGTTTATTTTCCTTCTTCTTTTCTTTCAGGGCCTCCTGTAAGTACCAAAGTTCCAGTGCGTTTGCGAAGTGTGCACCTGATGGTAATGGGGCGAAGAGGGCTTGAGGGGAAATTGGCAGTAACAATTTTCTTCCATATGCCATGTTATACCCAAGTTTGCCTTTAAAATCTCCCAGAATCTCTCAAACACCAAATATCCTTTGTATTCAGTCATAGTGCATAGATCCTTAGTGGGATTTCACAGACACACCCATATAACTCTGCACAATTCTGAAATCTCACAGCATGGGATTGAGAAAGCTCACAGGGTAGAAACAGTGAATATGAAGGGCTAGAAATACTCCCAACTATTTTCATGTACAAAAATGAGGATAACAGTGTGCAATTTGCATGCAGAGGATGCCATACGCTGAATTCAACATACTTTTAAAAAATGGATGCAAATATATCTGTGCAACTTGTTCTCTGCCACTCAGCCAGTGGTGCTGAATGTTTGGGCCTAGATGTGCAATTATCAGTTTTGAAGAAAAATTGTGTAGACAGCTTCCTTTCCAAATGTTAGCCAAACGCAAAAACTCAACTCAGACAACTTAGACTTCAGAAAAATGTCCCAACTACTGCCAGAATGTTTCTAGTTACTCATTATTGCTGCTAAGAGACCTTGAAGGGTATGAATCAGAAAAAGCCTTGTAAGGACTGAAGGAATATCCCCACAAACATTAATTGATACAAAGGAATACAGTAACTATTGCATTTTGGACCTTATAAAGGAACTTGTTTTATATTAATGTATAACATAATAATCATACTGGATCTCTGCAACGGGACTTGGACAGTTAGACATCCAGTAGTCATCTTTTGTCTGTAAGTGTAAAAATTGCATTTTCTGTTATGACTTAAGCATTAAGGCTTATAAAACAATTTACAGGGGACATTTTAAGGAGACAGGGCCGGCACCAGCTTGCCAAGCAGGTGCTTGGGGCGGCCACTCCGGAGAGGGGCGGCACGTCCAGCTATTCGGTGGCAATTCGGCAGACGGTCCCTCACTCCCGCTCGGAGCGAAGGACCTCCCGCCAAATTGCTGCCGCAGATCGCGATCGCGGCTTTTTTTTTTTTTTTGCGCCGCTTGGGGCGGCAAAAACCCTGGAGCCGGCCCTGTAAGGAGAACTAGTTGCTACAGAACAGATTGCATTCCCTTTGAGATATTGATTCTGCAAACCCTCAAATGCAAAACTTTCAAGCAGTCTCTATAGGCAGAGGAAGACAGCACTGCATCAGTTCACAGGTTTTCTTTGCAACAATAAGGGCTAGAAACTTAATATTCTAATGAAAGCTTAAATCCTGCAAAAACAAATGGGACCACCAGAGAAGCGATGACACAATGTGCTACTGTATACCAGCTTATTCTGACCCTCGAACCTGTCTGTATAAACAACTGTTTAGGACAGGAAGTGAGAATACTGTAGCCAATTGAAATAACAAGATGAAATTAGGCGGACTGCATTTAATTAACCAAAGTGGAATATTTCCTGGGCTCTCAGGCTTATCACACCCTATTCTCACTAAGAAGAGAGAGATTTTAAGGGACTGCAAGTGCTAGCAGTTCAAAAATCACAAGCATAACTTCACTGTTAAATATTTAAGCAAAGCACTTGGTGTTTACATGCTGAAGGTTTTCGCCAGTGTTTTTTCTGATTAAAATGGATGGGAACTAGTTTATGATGTGTGGAACAGATTCCCACGCTGCTGGTTTCACATATGTTAGTCCAGCCAACAACTCAGAAATGCTGAGACACCAAAAATCTCAGTTTATTATACATTTCACAGCATGTAAATGTGAAGTTTCAGACTTCTGAGCTGAACAAAATGGGAGCAGCTCTTATCTTGTACCATTTAGGGCCAAACTGAGGGGCTATGTTTTTGCAGGGCTGTTTCTGATACATGACAGTGGTGGATAGGATTGGCAAGGCTGAATTCCAAAAAATGAGAAACAGAAAAGATTAAAACACTCCCTAGTTATACTCGTTCTTGGGCATATACTGTCAGATCAACTGAAGGGACTTAAAATTACACGTTGAATTAGAATGGTCCTAGACTCTGAATTTCCAGTGGCAGATTCTGTCATTTCTCTACCAATTTTGATGTAGATAGGGTAATTTGAAAGCCAGCAACCTGTAGATGTGTAATTGGAAAGAAAGAAAGAAAGTTAATCTGGAGGTTCTCAAACTTTTTCATAGTGTGAACCACATCTTCGATACCTTCCCTCCCAGTCATGATTATACTATATGTCTATGGCAACTCCAGAAATTCTGTACATGAACAATTAATATTCATCAGATGGAAACAAGGAGAAGACTCAGAAGCATATGACTAGCTAGCTCTCCACGGGCTACCAGTTACCCACAGACCCCAGTTTGGGAATCTCTGTGAAAGACACATACCAAATAGAAATAAAGCTTTAAAGATGGGTTGGGAAAATGGAACAATCAGCTCGGGTTAGTATGAGAGATGTTCTGATGACTTAACAATTCTGTTTTCTCATTGTTTATACTGGATTTCTTCTTTTTAATCAGTGCTTTCCCTACCTCCTACCCCAGTTTTTGTGCCAATGTTGCCTTTTCTGTTTTATTTCAGGGCCCTACAGGAAGACCAGGGCTTCCGGTAAATAGCTTTTTTCTATCATGTTATTTACTTTTTGTTCACTCTCTTTCTCTCTCTGGCAGTAGTTTGAAAGGCAGGCCTCAAGGCTGTGTAAATTGGGAGGTGGTAGTGGTCTCCAGTGGTGGAACTAAATTAGATGAAGAGCACGTTGTAAATGAGATATGGATCCCAATAGGATAGGAACAGGACCTTGGCAGGACAATGTTCCAAGAAACACATTTTTTATAGGATCCTTTTGTGTTTGGGAAACATGTAGCCTTTTAAGATCACCCTTCAAATATGAATCACCTTCCCCATTTAAGAACTACATTTGTATTGTACTCTCACTGATAGGAATCTGAGCTTCTTCAGGCTTTCCAGGAAAGACTGGAGGTTCATTTCGAGCAGATACCAGGATGGATATTGCAGTGATTTGGATTGTTTATTTTAACTCTGGAGGAGCTTGGGGGATGCAGGAAGCATCCATTTAATCCATGATACAGGAAGTAGAGGTGAGAGGGATATCTAGAGGTCAGGCCACGGAGAAGTGAAATTCAGACACCAAATGGACACCAAGCCATCCCTTCTCATGGCCACAGTAGAGCCAGTGTATGGCCAGTCACTCCACCTGTTTCTTAATGTATTCCTAGTGAAGGGGAAACTTTGTTACATTGTCAAACTGGCTTCTGAGTTTCACTGAGGGCTACGTGCGTCACCTTTTGCAGGTGTTCTGGGCAGGGAAGAGATCTCAGGGGCCTCTTGCCCTCCCTCCCCCCCACACCAGGGGCCAGGCAGAATGGTGACCTAGCACTTTGAGTGTAAGGCAGGCAACCTGGGTACTGTGCCCAGATGTGCTTCTCATTTCCAAGGGCGCACAGACAGTGATTTGGTGTGTTGTCCAGTCTCCAGCTCCCCTTTGCCTACCAGTGCAAGCAGAAGGGAACCTCTTCTCGATGGCCATCGCTCCACTCTCCCCTCTCAGCACCCCTCAAACAGAAAAGCCAATCTGTAACCTAAATTTCTCAACAGTTTGTTTTTTTGCCCCCATAAGCTTGTTTTCATGAACAGTCCCATTATCACTGGTTAAAATTAAATCAACATGGTGCCTGCCAACTTCTCAGGGAGTTGTAAATCCATTACTAACTTTAATCCAAATGAAAATGAAGTATTAGCAATGGTCTGTTTCTGAGATAAATCATGATAAGGAATTTAGATGCTAGGATCAATATATTTTCTCCACTGTGGCAGCCTGAGCCATCTCCAGGGGAGAAATCAATAGATGGATGAAAAGTAGTTCGCTCAAACTCAAATATTGAGACACAGAAGTAATATTAGCAGAAAGAAGAAAATACTCTAATCTCACCTCATCTGAGGGCAGGCCACTTATCATCAAAGCAGTGCAGATCCTTGGGCTGTGGTGGACTCATCACGACTTGTGGACATACTAATTGCCACAGTAGAAAGGAATTCCTTTGTTACATTTTTGGTGGGTCAGGAGGCTGTTCCCTCTCTTTTTAGACAAGGTTTTGACCACCATAGTCCATGTTTTCATTGCCTTCAGGTTAGATTATTCTATTCATGCTACCTGGGGCTGAATGTAATTGTCACATGAAGGCTGCAATTGCTGAGCAGAGTGTCCCTCCTCACAAGTAGTAAAAGCTGATGCAAAGTGCTGTGTGAAACTGCTGGCTCCCCCTTCATCTAAGGCCCAAATTCATGGTTTGTCTCTAATTTACAAGGCTCTTACAATCCGGGGTTAGATTACTTCAGAGTAGCCTTACTGTCAGAGACTATCCAAGCCAGCTGGGCTCCTGTACTGGAGAGACTCAGGATAAGTCTTTCAGGCTCAGGGAGCAGAGCATTCTCAGCAACAGATATGAACCCCTTGGCCAGAGGAGATCAGACCAAGCCACAGCCTGACCATACTCTGATCCCAACATGTACCACCTTTGGATGAAGTCTCCTCAGCAATGACTTCCACAAAACAAAAACAAAAATCCACCCATTGCCTGAGGGAAGGAGAGAGTAAAACATCTTTTAAGACCACTCAAGCCTTCTTCATAACTATTGTTTGGTGCTTGGATACTAAAACAATAGCCACTTTAGAAAGACAGCAGGCAGGCAGGCAGGCAGTGGGGCTATGAATACAATGCTAGCATACAGTGCAGGACATAAGTATTATCCACAACAGAGTGTATTTCCTGGCTTCACATCATAAGCAACTCTATCTCATAAACATCTGGCCTTTATTTGCTATACTACTGGGACCATTTCCCCCCTGCTAGTATTGTTTAGAAGACCCTAAGTACTGTGTAGTCAAATACCAGACACAGTGCACTCATACATCATTTCATGATGAGGTACTTGGCAATTTGACATCAGGTACTGTACCAATCACTGTGCAGACTAATATCAGACACAGCTCTGTCTGTCCTACACAGTATCAGTCATTATATGGTCAGATACCAGTCACAGCACAGCCAGAAAGAATTTCTCAACAACAGATCCAAAAGTCTGGAACACCCTTCCACTACAGATCATGAGAGTTTGACCCTTGTCATCTTCATAACAAGTCGCCAAGCTCAGCTGTAGAGGAAAGCAATGTCCAAATTAAAGAACAAGAAAACTCAGCAGCAAGCTCCCAAGCAGAAGCCAAGAAATCAAAGAGCAAGGCAATGAATTTCCTGTCCCTTATGGAGAAATTCCATTGTTTTCTGAATAAACAATGTACAGCACCTAGACACAGAGATAGATTGATCTCTCTCTCTCTCTCTCTAATAGCATGTTGATGGGTGCAGTATGAAAATCAGAATGGGATGAAATAGAATAGATATTGTCTCCTTTTACTTTGCAGTCACATACCATCTATGTAAATTTAATCAAACTGCTTGTGTAAATCACCTGAAGTATAACTGCTGCAGCAGAGATATGGCTTTTTGATTTATCAAAACACGTATGTGAAAGAAATGCCCATTGATTATGGAATGGTACTTGTCTATAACTATGGAGTTGTTAAACCTCTAAATACTTTTTACTCCATTACATTTAAATCTTGTGCATATTGAAGTGTATTTAGAATATTAATCTACAGTATTATTATGTACATCAGACAGGGAGCAAAGAAAGGTTACTGAGCAACAGTGGCAGCAAAGTGCATTCCTTGAATGGCGAGAAATAATCTGCCCACTCCCCAGATTTCAAGACAGTCTTCTCCATTTTGCTTTTTCTCCACACAGCTTTTTGCAGTTCCATCACTGGATAGCAGAGCGAATTGGCAGGTCACAGTAGAAAAATGACCATCAGTATTATTTTATATTCTCATTTGATTACAGACACTGCTGGGGAAAAAAGAATTTCTGAACATTTACCAACATCAAAGATTATTTTCCTCAGCAGAGTTACCTGTGTAATCAGTATGTATCCCTAACTTGTATTGATCACTAATAGACACCGAACTAAGGTTCTGGCTCATTGCCATGATTAAAGCGATAATGACAGAAGAGGCTCAACGATTTCATGTAGGTGACACAGTTAGCGTTGTTTTCCCCTCATCCTTGAGGCAGCCTCCTACATTGTCTATGTTCTTGTCAGGTGCTGCAGAAATCAATCTTCTCAGAAAACAGTATTATGGTGAAAATATATGAGAAGGTATAACAGAAACATTGTTTTTTTTTCATAGTGAAACTTAGGAAAAAACCAAATTGATGATCAGAAACAATACCGAGAGATTTTACAATGTCATTTTTGCAAATTGTGCAGCAAAATCCACAAAACAACAGACACCATAAATAGTTCTGTATCCTCTCAGCATCAGCATACTGCTCTTTAAGTCTGCATAGCCATTCACTTTTTGTGACCAAAAATACAGAGTTTTTTTTAATTCTATAGTTAAATAATAAAAATATTCTTTAAGATTCAGAACTAAAATCTATATAAATGGCTAAGAATAAGCCAATGGCTTTGTGTCCATGTGTCTTTGCCATTCAGTTCAAGTATCGTCTCATACATTCTTAAGCAGGCACATTCATGCAACCTCACTTAATGATTTTCACACCCTAAAGATGCACTGGGCAGCATTCTCTACAGTTAAGAGACACAGAACACAGCCATTAATATACATTGCGCTAGACACGCCATTTCCTGTGTTAGCTTGTTATCCACATTAGTATAACTTTCCCTTTTCTGGACTACTGGAAAATGTGGACCTGTTCATGGTCTCTGAGAGTTCTATCTTAAGTCATAACAGCTCTGTAAATAAATAGCTACCATTCAGATTTCCTTGGAAAGAAAGAGAAAAATGTGATAATTAGGTACTGAAGGGAGCAGTTTCCCAGCAGCTGGATTATAGAAAGTGTTGAAATTATGATTAGATTCATAGTTGGATCACAAACTCTTGCCTTTTTTTCCTTTCTAAATGGTTGTGCTTTGTTGGTTCCTTGTGCCTATATAGCAAGGAGTTATTCTGATGACTTACATACACATCCATACCCACATGCTTACACATATGTTCAAAGATACATACAAACATATGAACATGCTTTAAATATATGTATATCTCATGTGTAAACATATGTGCACCTACACACACACACCTCAGTCAATTAATAATCAAAGATACACACATATGTGACATCTAATTTGTGTCATTTTGTAGTCTTGCTTATGGTCAGTTTCCAACTGCCGTCTGATTTTGCATTAATTGTTAGGGAGACAAAGGCGCCATGGGAATCCCTGGAAGACCGGTGAGTTACAACCTCTTGCATCTGCCTGACCTGACTGACACACATTTTTCCGAAAGCTGGGATGCCTGTGGGTCGTTTGGGGTGATACTTGCATTATTTCAGGGAAATGATTCCCCCAGCTCCATGCTCCATTTTAAGGTCTGGTTTGGGTACAACAAGGGAAAAAGCAGCAGCTTCCCTCATGAATAAAGCTGAATAAACTGCTACTCAGATCTGCTTCCAGGTTTAGAAATTCTAGGCTGCAGGTTCTATCATTTGTGATGTAACCAGACTCCACCCCGAAAACGGAGGCATGAATCCTTGGTAAGTCTGAGACATTTCCATACAGAAACCAAATCTAAATGGGACTCTTGAGAAGGAGGCCCTGGCTACATTCTGAGAATGCTCCCTGCAGAACCATGTGTTCTAGTGGTGCCAAGCAGTGTGCTGCCGATGGTTTCTTGCTGCCTGCAATGTACTTGCCTATGTGCCTCTGAAGGTAGAGAAGAGGCAAGCTCCCCCTGCGGATCTGTGTGTTGAAAAAAATGATATAGATCAAATAAACATTTGTAGCCTTTTCTCAGCCTATGAATGTACAATGTCTGCCCAGCAGATTGGCTCTAATTTGGCCCTCCAATCATACAGTACCTATTTAAAATAACAGTGACACTTTGAAGAAGGGCTGGGCAGCACGTGTCATACAGCATCACATCAGCACCCCAAACACCTTTGCATTGTGCGGCTCTGCCTTCTGTTCCCTGTGTTCCCCCTTCCTGGAGTTATTCTCTTTATTCCCCATACATGTTGATGTCTTTCCAAAGAGGACAACATAACAGCCTCAGGGGTGAGGTGACATTCCACTAAGTTCACTCTGAATTGTGGATAGGTCCTGAATCGTTATGCTTTTCTCTGGCTGAGGCACCTGCCCTATGACCACCCCCCATTTCAGACAGAGAATGGAAACTGTGTTATCTTCACTCCTTGCCAGTTCCCAGCTGTTCAGCTTGCCACAGCTAAGCTCGCCTGAGTTACCGTTTGGATATCTTCCCCCAAAACATTTTACACCTTTAAACATCTTTTGGGAAGGCTGTGTGTGGATGAGTGAGATGTGTCTGGGTTTGAGGCCTGCAATTTCACAGGCAGCTGTAATATAGAGTGGCTAAAGTGGTCATGCCATAAGAGATTACACATCCAGGGCCAGATTCTCAGCTGGTGTAAATCAGTGCAATTCCATTGAAGCCAATGGAGCTATATGAATTTACACCAGGAACTGGCCCACAGTGTTTGTTATGGAGGCTGATTAGTGAAGAGAAGTTCTCTTTTTACATACAAATACAACAAATATTATTAACAATTAACAACTCTTGGTATTAAATAACTCTTTACATCTTCAACGTATTTATAAACATTAATGACATAATCAGCTACTCACTGCCATCAGCAGTGATGGAAAAAATATAGAAAAAGGGTCAGCGAATTCCACAGGTAGGGTGGGCATAACCCTGGGTGGCTTGGTTTTTTACAAACCTCATGAGCCAGGGTAATTCAGATTTGAGCCCCAATTAATCCAAGCCCCCAAAGTATGGGAGGGTTTTATGGCTCCATTATATTTTATGTACTATGTTGAGGACTTCCTTAGCGATACCTCTGGGTAACTTTCTCTCTCCAGTAATGTCTCCTCCCAATGCCTCATTGGTATTGGAGCCCGGCATGCCTGAGGGGGTTAGCTCTTCAGTATTACTGTATTGCCAGACTCAGGGTGATTCAAGCAATGCTAGTACATGTTCATGATGCCCTTCTGGTTTGATGTTGTGTTGCCATGACAGCATTACTTTGGAAGTAACTGCTGCTTTCAGTAATGTGACACAACAGGATATAACGCAAGGTAGCGCAGTTTATGAGGATCACTGCTCTAGACAGAGATGGAAAACAGACAGAAATCTATATCATGTCTCTCATTTTCTGCTTATTTGTATGTGCTAGAAGAGGGGAACTGAGTAAAACTGCCCTTAGACCCTGCTAGGAGGCCTCTCAGAGGAAGCTGGCTCTGCAGAAATGCCAGCCCCTGCCAACCGCCGGAGTAGTGAAAGATGAGCTAGTAATCAAACCTGAGACTTTTGGTGGGTAACATAGATCACAACACTTCCAGATGAGCCCCTGTTTAAAGCCTACACACTCTGTTCATTAAAAACTCAGCTTTGCCGTTCTTATACTAAGTGAAGACTTACCCTGTGAGTAATTCCACTGAAATCAGTGAGACTCCACATGTAGTAGGTTACTCCTCGGTGTGAATAAGGGTGGTAGAATAAGGTCCTACCATAAAACAGGCCTGTTTTAATTGTAATTAACCTACGTGGAGTGACTTAATATATTAAACATATTTCAGTATGTAAGACTTAAATGTATTTTGCACATTTACCCCACAGATTTCACACAGCCAGACCATATATTATATCTAATTCCCCCTCTTTGAGCCAGGCAGAAGAGAAAGAAGAGAAAAAAAATCAATATTTTACTACTGTTTCAGTAATGAAGACTGTCAATTAAATATATTTCCCATGCCCCACCCTGCCATTCAGTCAGATACCGTCTTCCCAGCACATTCATCCGTTTATCCTCCTCTGCCTTTCCTCAATGACCCTCCTGTCTCACACACTGAAAGGCTGGCCAGGAACTCCTGCCACTTGGCCAGTGTGGACTGACTGTTAGCCAAGTCCATCTTCAGCTACTGTTCTGACCACCATGGCTAATCCCACCCAAGGACTATCATTCCTGGTGGCGGCTGTGCCAAGGTTCCTTGTCAGGTCTGTTGCTGCTGCCTCACTTACTTGTGAGCTGATGTCTCTGAACTCTGAGCCAGCCTTGCTAACTATGGCGAGCTTATCACTAACACACAGCTTCAGTTTCCCCACCACCACCACCACTTGTTAAAATCAAGAATTGATTTTCTCACGCTGGCTGAAAACCCAATTTCAGCTGCCACCTCTCTCAGCTGCCCTTCCTCTGAGACATTGCCAGGACAGCTGATCTTGATGGCAGTGGAAGGGGGAAAAGCAAAGGTCATTGTGCTTGTGTGTGAACCTTAAACAGAGCATGCGTCAGTGTCTGTGACCTGTTTTGTGTTGTTTTGTGTTTGGGTTTAGTGTGCCATTAACACTGATTCCTGTGTTTGTGTCTCTTTCTCTCTCCCCTTCACCCTTTTGCATGCGGCTGCGACTGGTGTAATTGACCCAGGGACTAAAGGGGCAACCCGGAGAGAAGGTGAGTCAGCTCTTTCCAGCTCATCATGTCATACCCTGACCTCTCTCAGCCGCCTGAAATCCCTTCACTTCAAATCACAATTGAAGAGCTGTGCCTTTAAAGCCCTCCGTGTGTTTAAACCACACATGGATCTGAACTGCCCCACCCCTCTCCTCTCACAATGTGAGCTCATCTCTTGAATTCCTTCCAGCCCACACAGCATCTGAGGATGTTGAATTTTTTGTTTACTATAACTTACTAACATTGTAAGGGCTGACTTCCAGAGGTGGATGGGCACACTCAATATTTCCAGCTGGGCCTTTGTGGTTTTTTAACCATTAGCTTCTTCACTGCTGACAGCTGTGCCTGGTAAGTCCAGGAAATGTGCATATGCAAATGTGATAAGATATAACAGCTATGTCCTAATGGCCCATCCAGTTCCTATGTGCTAGGCTTCTCCTATTCACCATTCCTCTGGTCACAGACCATGGCTCATCACCTTCATTCCAGGGTTAGTCGCATAGTGAAAAAATATGGCGGGAAACAGGAAAGATATGGCCACGACCCCACACACAAATATACTTTTTTACTTCAATCATATCTTCTCCATTTAAAGAAAAAAGACCCTGCAGTACTTCCTGTCTCTCTGAGCAGTTGCCTAAACTATTTGAAAAGTATTGAATGAGTTTTTTGTCCCTACATAGAGCTGGTAGTTTACAAAGCCACTAATATGTCACATTGGTGACACAAATGTCATGAAATATTCAACGTCAGTCAACACTTTATGTCTTCAGATGCCACTACATCATACACTCAAAAGGGAAAGATAGGAGAGGGACAGAAGTGCCTTGGATCGATTCAGGCAGCATCTAATTAACTGGAAAATGAACAGCAAAATGTGCAGAAATTAGGAAATGTCTAGCTGTTCACCCCATTGTTTGAGGAAACATCTGTAAAGAGTATGGTATTGGCAAACCTGTTCAGATCTCGGTGAAAAAGATAGGGAGCAAAACAGTGACATACCATAGGAAGAAAGGGCAAGGCAGGATGAAAATCTGGTTCTTCTTCTTCTTCTCCTTCCTTTTCTTCTTCAGGTCACTCCCTTTTGTCCCCTGTTTGGATTCTCCTGGTAGCCAATCAGCATTATCAAATCATCCAAGATGCCAAAGCCCCCTTGGTAGATGATGTAGTTGTATCACATAATAACACTCTTTCCATTCCACTAGTATCTCAAGAGGAAGTTAAACAGCAGCTACTAAAGATGAACATTTTAAAATCAGCAGCTCCAGATAAGTTGCATCCAAGAGTTTTAAAAGAGCTGGCTGAGGAGATCACTGGACCATTAATATTGATTATTCAATAAGTCTTAGAAGATGGGGGCGCTGTTGCAGAAGAGTGGAAGAAAGCTAATGTTGTGCCAATATTTAACAAGCGTAAATGGGATAACGTAGGTAATTATAGGCCTGTCAATCTCACATCAGTCCTGGGCAAGATAATGGAGCAGCTGATATGGGATTTGATTAATAAAGAATTAAGCAAGGATAATATAATTAATGCCAATCGACTTTATGGAAAATAGATCCTGTCAAGCTAATTTGATATCTTTTTTGGTGAGATAACAAGTTGTCTGTTAAAGGTAATAGAGTTGACATAATATACTTAAACCTCTGTAAGACATTTCACTTGGTACCACATGACATTTTGATTAAAAAACTAGAGCAATATAAAATTAACATAGCACTCATTAAGTGGATTAAAAGTTGTCTAACTGGTAGGTCTCAAAATGTAATTGTAAATAGGAAATCAGCATTGAATGGATATATTTCTAGTGGGGTCCTGCAGGGATCAGTTCTTGGCACAATGCTATTTAACATTTTTATTAATTACCTGGAAGAAACATCAAATCATCACTGATAAATTTTGCAGATGATACAAAAATTGGGGGAGTGGTAAATAACAAAGAGGACAGGTCACCGATACAGAGTAATCTGGATTGCCTGGTAAACTGGGCACAAGAAAACAGTATCCATTTTGGCCGTACTTACATAATGGGGAATTTTGGAAGCAGTGACTCTGAAAAAGATTTGGAGGTTGTGGTGATCAGCTGAACATGAACTCCCAGTGTGATGCTGTGACCAAAACGGCTAATGAAAATCCTGGGATGCATATATAGGTGAATCTCAAGTAGGAGTAAAAAGATTATTTTACCTCTGCATTTGGCATTAGTGCAGCCGTAACTGGAATATTGTATCCAGTTCTGGTGTCCACAATTCAAGAACTTGGTTGATAACTTGGAAAGGGTTCAGAGCCAAGCCATGAGAATGATTAAAGGATTAGAAAACCTGCCTTATAGCGATCGACTTAAGGAGCTCGACTATTAAGCTTAAAAAAGAGAAGGTTAAAGGGTGATTTGATTGCAGTCTAAATGTACCTATACGAGGAACAAATAGTTAATAATGAATCTTCAGTCTAGTAGGGAAAGATATAACGTGATCCAGTGTTGAAGCTAGACAAATTTAGACTGGAAATAAGGGGTACATTTAATCAGTGAGAGTAATTAACCATTGAAACAACTAACCCAGGGTTGTGGTGGATTCCCCATCTCCGGGTAAATCAAGATTGGATATTTTTCTGAAAGATCTGCTCTAGTAAATATTTTGGGGTAAGTTTGATGGGCTATGTTATGCAGGAGGTCAGACTAGATAATCATAATGGTCACTTCTGACCTTGAAATCTATCATCTGTGACTATCAGTCATGTATTGTGTATTATAAAACACATTGAGATAGTCTGCCAGTCATATGACCTGGGTTTGCCGTGAATCTTTGATGGCTTCTATTTTTCCAGGAAGAACTTTACTGTTTTTTTCTTAATCCAAAATGAATGCCTTTTATAAATAGCTACAAACAGGACTTTTCCACTCCCCAGGTCATGGCAGGTCACAGCTGCCTCTAAGTTGCCCAAAGTTCCCCATTTTTACTTTTGCTTTCTTCACTCAGTTTCTCTCTTCTTTTCTTTAGGTAGTTAGAACATTCTTCCCCAAATCACTGCTACTCTTCTTTCACTTTTAACTGAGGAAAACTGAGAGGCTGTCCCTTCTTTTTGCAGCCAGATCATTCTTCTCTTGAACACTTGTCTTTCTGTGACTTAAAATCCTGTTTCCAAGTCCAGTGAATAAAGTTTACTCTCTTTAAAGAGAAAGTAACTTCTTTACAGCCATGGACTAAGTATGCTAGTCTTTCTTCAGTAATTAATGTCGCTCTTTAACACTATTAATCTACCAAAGTAGAACCTTAGATCTGAACATCTCAACTCAGGGAAAGCTGCTGCTTAAATCTGGATGAGGCCATTGACGCTTAGGCCTATCCCTGCATTTGAACACAGAAGGTGTCTTGTGCAGTGGAAAAGTTTCCATAGCAGCACATCCCTCCTCTGCAGTGAGTGACCAGAGAGAAGGAATGGTAAAGATATTTACTGGGGTGAACCCAGGGCATTGGGGAGGGGCATGGCCAGATTACACTGCACTCCAGTGGTTTTTGGCTGGCAGAACTGTCCCTGTGGCAGTGTTTCAGCCTGAACCCAAAGGTCTACACTGCAGTTTTATAACCCCACAGCCCAAGCCCTGTGAGCCCAAGTCAGCTGACTCAGGCCAGCTGCAGTTGTGCCTCGGGTCTCTTAGCTCAGTATAGACGTACCATAAATGTCTATCATTGCATACAATACATGATTAAGTCATAAGAACATTTTGTCTCCATGTCAGTCCCTACTTATTTTCGAAACAGGTTTGACCAAGCCACTTATTTCTGGGTACAGTACATTAAGCTGCTTCCACATGGATTTATTTACTTTACTTTAGACCTAAACTTTCAAATTCCAATCTGATCACTAAATCTCATTTGATCCATTCATAAAATCATAAGTACTAGAGTTGAAAAAGACCTTGTGGTTTATGCAATCTGTCTCGCTGTCCTTGCCCTACCCTGTGATATACAATGTGGCCTCCCGTGTATATTCAGAGCTGGGTTAACCAGACAGTATTTTAATATCTCCATGGTGCTTTCACAACTGACCTCAGGAGACTATTCCACCCTAATAGTGATCTTATGTCTTACTGTTACATTGTACCTTTCACTCCAAAGGCACCCTGACCGCTTCATAAACTTGATAAAGTGTGTACATTTTGGGTATAGAGCTGCCATTGAAATGCAGATGCATCTGGGGTGAGATGTGAAATCTGTTTAAAAAGCATACAGCAATAGACTGGAAAAGGAAATGAACATCACTATCATCAATTCAATTTCACAAAGGAAATTTAGGGAGGCAAAATGTCATGACCTGAATTAGAGTTTACCCAGGGCTTGAGAGTAACAGCACTTACTAAAAGTGTCACAGGATCTTTAATAATCACAAGAGGTCAGGGCCTCTGTGTTGCATTTTATCCAAAAAGTATTTTATGTGTCTATAATTTTCCTTGCTGAACATCTCATTTTCCCCTTATACAGCACAGCTTTACTCCTAGTTATGCCTCTCTGCATTATTCAATCCCTAGACTAGGGCGGGTGAAGCTTCAGGCTGAACAAGAGTGATCAAATAGAGGGGAGGCAAATGTGTGCTCTCAGGGCATGGGGAGTATGCAGGCATGAGATGAGGTCTCATGTTCATCACCAAAGGGACTCATAGTGGTACCATCTCTTAAGGGGAATGGGACACTTCAAAATGGCCTCCTCTCATGAGCAAGAAAGGCCAAGGAGGTTTTTTATCTCAGGTGGGAAGGGCTCTAATCAATCACAATTTAATCATGGTCTCTATAGATAATGTGAATATTGATTATTTTGATCTCTTTTCCTTAACTGTCTTTCTTCCTCCTCCTCATTATCTCATGCAATCACCTCTCTCTCCTCTACTGATTCACCCTTGTTCTTTTCTTCATCTCACTTTTTGCTCTCTTTTGTCTTCTCACTGACGCTTTCACATCTCTCTCTTCCTCTTTCTCTTTCCTTCTTCTGCTTCCTTGCCTTCCAGTTTTTTCCTTTTTAATCTTCCTTTTCTCACACCTTTTCTGCCTCTGTCTCTCTCTGCAGGGAACCCCCGGAGAAGCAGGCATGTCCATCATCGGTCCCCGAGGCCCTCCCGTAAGTGACTTTCTCTCTATTTTTGTATGATGCAGGCTGTGGGTGAGTTACTGGAAAAAGACTAAGGAGGGGTACCAAGTCAGCAGCAGCATTTCCAGAGAAGCAATAACACTATCTGATGTGGTTTTCCTTTTTGGCCAGTCTTGTTTTTATACAAATATTCTTTACTATATATAATTAAATTACAGCCCATATTGCTAGAATTAGTGAGCACCTAGTCCTTAGCAAGGAAACCATATAGGTTTTTCCAGTGTTTTTTTTTCTCCTGTGTTTAAAAGGAAGAGAAATAGTTCCACCTCTTGGCAGCAGCACTGATGCCTTGCTGTGAGTACGCCCTTCGCTTTGGGCGAAGCATGTCTTCTTTGGCTGAGTGCTCTTTGCAATCAGTCTAATTGGCAGATGGCATTGCTCCATCTTTATAGTGCAACATGTCTGGGATTAAGGCTGGGCAAATGGCTGCTGGAGATAACAAAAATGGGTAATTTAGGAACTTGCTTGAAAAATTCAATTTCTTATCCTAAGACCCAAAGTTTTTGTTGCTCAGCCAGGTTCATCAATGACAAGCATGGTACTGTCAATTAACAGAGAGCTGAGATTTCTCTCTGAAGAGTTCAGTGAACCCTTCCTCTGCTGCTATCTTGATGGCTTGTTTTAATAAAGGCTTGTTTTAATTAGGGAGCAGAGAAGAGGCACTTAGAGAGGTATGCTGGGCTGGAGAAGTACAGTATTAGGCCCTGATCCTGCAAGGAGTTCCACGCAGGTGCAGAGATCCACCCACATGAAGCTCCTAAGAGAACTAGAGCCTTAGTGTCCTAGAAAGAATACAGGCTTAGAGCTTTCATGCATCCCAAATTCTAGGTCCTCCTTGAATTGAAGTTCATATTTCTAGCTTTCCCTAACACAGTAAATGCACAGTGTTGTCCAAATTTCTGTTAGGTCTTTGTATCGCTATAGAAACTCCAGTTTTCCAGTACATTTCCAGTGGTTATTGACTAGAGTTTAGATTTGTATTAATGGTATTAAATTTGCTGGGGTTCTTCATTCCATGGAAAAAGTTGAAGCACATTTCTTCCCATCCTTCAGGACCTAAACATGGCTGCCCCTCCAGTGGCACTTTAGAAAGGTACCTTTCTCACAGAATGAAATTAAATATGAATTTAAGTTCCATAAGGAGACAATGAGTTTAGACACTGTGTATTAGGTAGGGATAGCTCAGTGGTTTGAGCATTGGCCTGCTAAACCCAGAATTGTAAATTCAATCCTTGAGGGGGCCATTTGGGGATTGGCCCTGCTTTGAGCAGGGGGGTGGACTAGATGACCTCCTGAGGTCCCTTCCACCCCTGATATTCTACATGACAAATATTAGCCCATGTTTTCACTGCTTTACAGCTTATTGCCCAAATAGGTTATTACCACTCTCTTTCAGGCAAGCATTTTCACTCTCTCTCAGTTCCATCCATTCTGAGATACCATTGATTTCCACTGCAGTGTGACAGAAAAAGATTCAATCCCCCTTGCCGCCCACCTGCCCCGGTAACTTCCTTTTTTGATTAGTTTTGTGAGGAGTAGCATCCTTGACCTAGAGAGAAGATGGAGGACATATGCCCTTGTTTCACAGCTAATCGGTTGAGGTCAAGAGAAAGAGACCTCAGCAGCCTGGACAGTCGGCTACATCTGGCTTTCCAATTATCCTTCCATAAGTCCCATGGTAAGTGCTCCTAATAGGAAACAGCTTAGTCTGCTCCCAGTGCCACCTGTCCGCCACTGTGAGGTTGATAAATGGCAAAACCAAACCAGGAAACAAATGCAGATTCTTGGGCTTTTCAGAAGACAGTGACTTTTATTTTGACCGCTGCAGTTTTCTGAATGGCAGATAGCCTTTTAGGGTCTTGTGCTAAACTGCAGAAGTTGTTTCAGCCAAGATGTTCCTGTTAGGCTGCTATTAGCAGCAATAAGTAGGCCTCTACCAAAGTCATGGTCCATTTTGGTCAATTTCACGGTCATAGGATTTTAAAAATTGCAAACTTCAGGATTTCAGCTGTTTAAAACTGAAACTTCACAGTGTTGTAATTGTCGGGGTCCTGACCCAAAAAGGAGTTGCGGGGAGGGGGGCATAAGGTTATTGTAGCGGGGGTTGCAGTACTGCTACCCTTACTTCTGCATGGCTGCTGGCAGTGGTGCTGCCTTCAGAGCAGGGCAGCTGGAAAGCGGCGGTTGCTGACGGGGGGAAAGCCACCACCAACAGCAACGCAGAAGTAAGGATGGCATGGTATGGTATTGCCAACCTTACTTCTGCACTGCTTAGGGTTACCATATTTCTACAAGCAAAAAAG